TTTATTAAAGAGTGGTTTTACCATTAGTTCCTGCAGTATTTTTAAATGACAGAGCACTTGTCAGCTGAAAACACACATCAGGCATCCAACAGTCTACCACTAGCAAGAGTCTGGAGCATTAGTGATGCGTTTTTACTAGACTTCATCAATCACTCGAACCCTGGGGTGAAACCTCTGAACCACACACCAGTGAGCTCAGCCTGAACCGCTTTCCATTCAGTGTGGTGTATAGCTTTATTATTTTTATTTTTTGGCAGCAAGAATCTTAAACAGGCTGTGAATGAACATTAGGTTACTCAGAGTTGCATTTTATTAGGGCTGCCCCCCTAACAGTCGACTAAACTTTAGTTGATGAGAAGGGGCCAAAATCGACCAAAATTGTCAACCCTCTACGGACACCTTGGCAATTGAATCGCCATTGGCTAGTACATTTTTTTGTTTACGCGCCAGACTGAAATACTATACTATACTATACTAGACTATATATATATATATATATAAAGATATGCCATTTACAAACATATAATGTTTGTAAAATGGAATATGATAATCAAGTATTATTTAATAATAGAAGTTTAGTAATTAGAATTAAAACTTGGTAACCATGAACTTAGGACTGGTGCTGGTGCTTTTTTTGGTCATTCAGTGTTCCTGTAAAAAAAAAAAATCGGTGTTTAAAAAATTATTATTATACGAATTCTACAAATAAGAACAATATAAAAACGCACTAGGGATTAATGAGCTACTGGATTCATAAATATCAGGTTGTGTGCGTTTGCGCGAACGGATTAGCTGAAATCAAAACAGGGACGATAATAGGTGAGCACCAGCCAATGAGATTGTCGTTTGCGCATTAGTTCCGCCTGAAGCGCTCAGTCAGAGTGTTCTGTGAGTGAAAATATATCTGTGCTAATCAAATACTCAGCATCCAACTCACACACTGGCGAGTAAAATCTGAGAATTTATTAGCAATTGGCTAATATTAGACATCATTTAGTCGCCCAGAGTGAAGATTTAGTCGCATATGCGAGTGATTTACTCGCAATGTAGAGGGTTGATTGTATTAGTCGGTAAGTCACAGAAAAAAAAAACTGTCTGTTTCTGTGATGGACAGATAGTTAACAGCTGGTCATTGAGGTAATTACAGTATATTGGGCAGGAAATCCAAACTTTCACTTATCGTTCATCCACCTCAAATATTGAGTAGCAAATTTACACGTTAGCCTAGATAAATGTGGGTTATTAGGCTCATATTCAAGTGTTTGTGCAGATTGTCGAAGCTGTTAGTGCAGTCACTGGCACTGATAACAGTGGAAACAATAAAAAAAAAAAAACGCTGCCAATTTTGCGCATACAGATAGGAGTAAGACATCATTCGAAACTGTAAAAGGTCTACTTTTAATTGTATACACTCACAATATCAACAAATCATTGTGCTTAAAGAAAACAAACAGGTTGTGCTTTCTGCCGTCTCGGTCTCATTGAACTAGAGCGCGTCACAAAAATGAACTAAAACTCTTGTGTATAGGCTCCCCTCACAAGCTCTATGTGTGTGCTTGACTGCGTTATAGGCTATATATTAAAGGCTCATTAGTTCCCCCAGTACATATTTGAGTTATTAATTGTATATAAGCATGCAATTAGACGACTAACGAAAATCGCTCAAATGAACGTCTACAAGTTTACTACTGTAGAAAAATTGTTAGTTGGGGGCAGCCCTACATTTTACACTCTAGATTTGTTGGTAGTATTAATGTTGTGCACATGAGAGATGGGTGTCTAAAACATTTAGAGATTCTAGGCATCTTGTGCTGTGCATGTTTGAGTCCAATGTTGTGTAGACCTCAGTGGAGTTCAGCTGGTAATTGAGATCAGTAGTAAAGTTTAAGCATACCTTTCATTCTCCTCCGTCACAATTCACAACATCTTGGCAGTGTTTCATGTCTCTTTCATTTCTTGCTCTTGACCAGTATGTAAAATGTTTTATTACTTTACTGGTTTATGTTTTTGGAGGTTATCATTATCAGATGTGCTGCAGGCAAACTGCAGTAAAATCCTGGAGGGGTTTGCTATATGTGTAGCTGCTAAACATTACTTAAGGGTTCAGAGACGGTTCGAAGAATACGATGCTTTCTATTACCCTATGGGCCAAAATTCTGCGATCTAGTAAAATTCTCACTATCACTATCATGACATATGAAGTGAATTGCTGCTTAGTTCAGTGCAATGGAAAGAATAATTAAAGTTAAATCTTGCAAAATATTGCCAAAATAATTCAATAATTTCCCCAAAATATAACATCTATCGTTTTTATAAATTTTTTTAATTGGCTTTTTTTAAATGCTCAGTATAAATTTTTTTGTTATTTTAAGTGTTTTAAGAATTTAAAATTTTCGTTTTAATTTTTTAAAATATTTGTTTGGTTTATTTTATTTCCAGTTAGCAATTTTCAGCTTAAAAACGTTAAAATGTTCCCTTGCCAATGAGCTGATATAAATTTAAGTTTTTCATCTAACATTTACATTTTATTTAAGCTTCTTCAGTTAATAAAAATGTTTTCATAGTTTTAGTTATCGTGTAATAACCGTGCTATTGACATTGCCAAATAGTAAAAGTAACTGTTAGGATCATAAGATGCATTAAAAACAAACTTTCTCAAGGAAGCTGTGACCATCTGGATCTGTTCTCGATGAGCATTAGCTTTAACACTTAACATTAACACTTTAGTTTGTATTCATCCAGATCTGCAGTCAACAAATAAATATGCCAGAAAAATGCCAGAAAATGCTACTGTACATGTGAAACCTTAAAAGCACACAGTTTCCGCTCCTGCTGGTTTTCCAGAGAAAGTTTTTACTTCTTGTACAGGCCAAAAATAAATGCATACTGGTATAGAAAAGATCATAAGGAATTTTCACAAGCTTCTGTTTCTAATTCTAAGCAAAAGTACACTCCTAACATCAACTTCAATGATTTTCAGCTAAATTACTTTAAACCTCATTGTCAGAACAGTAAGATTTCCTAGAAGACCACAAAGACAATGACTTCAATGAGCGTATAAACTGGGATGAGGAAAATGGCTCTAATTGAGCATAATTTAACCGTAAAGATAATTCCGCATTTAGGATCAAAAACAATGACATGAGATGTGACAGCTGTGAAAAGTTCTTTCTGCACTTGTGCTTTATTTAGCTAGTTTCTTTATCTTGTTTCTTACAGCCATGCAAAACTTGTCCTGATGCAAACTTACTGTACTGTTCCTTACTTTTTCAATATTACCAGTATGAACAGATCCGATGGATAGGAAGGGTTTCAACTGACGTGTCACAAAACATCATGCATTCATTTTGTTTCATGTCCGTTACCCCTTACAGTAGTTGAGCAACACAACAGTTTCCTCCACAGCTTATAGATTCAATCTTAACCTTATAAAGCCTACTGTATTTGATGCACACATTTCTAAGGCCTCTTAATGATCAACCTGTTCAAAACGTTGCTGTTAAACCTGTCACACACAATCTGTTATATGTCTTCTGTTGTCTGATTGATAGTTTAGAGTTCTTTATCAAGTAAAAGCTCATTTAGTGTACTTCTTCAAACGTCTACCTTCAGCTGGTGCTTCACACGTCTTTTTGCTGTCAGATCTGTAAATGCCAGAATAACTGTAGTAATATTTCCAGATGAACAGCTCGGCTTTACTTGATTCTCCATCAATCCTTTTGTAGAAAAATCAGTGCATCTCAAATCTGATCATCAGTTTGTTTATCTCTTTATCATCATTGTATTTCATTGCATTATATGTTTTGATCATCAGACTAAGCATTTAAATATCATCTTAATAACTCATGTTATTGGAGATATAGAGTGACAACTGATATTTTTATTATTGTATGTAAGTATCTGCTTTGCTTTAATAAAGATATCATTGATTTAGATTCCAAGCATCAGAATTTCATCTTGCTTTTTGATCATATAAATATCAGCCTCTGCACCAAATTCCACCATATTTGTGGCCTGAGATATTTTTTTTCCTCCATATTCTCACTGTATCACACTATATGACCCATAAAACCTGATGTATCAAATATGATATTCAACAAAAAAAAGCATAATTCTCTCTCTTTTTTTTTTTTTTAAAGGTTTGATAAATTGTTCCATTTCCAAATAAAATGAAAATAAAGTATATGAAGAAAAAGTAAACAATTACTGGGAAAAGATATTATGTCTTTATGAAAGAAATGTTGGCTACACTTTAGAATAGGGAACACATATTCACTATTAATTAAGAGTTTTCCCTCAGTAAATTGCCGATTTGCTGCTTATTAATAGTTAATAGGTAGTTTTTTAGTTTAGGTGTGGGGTTTAAAGATTAAGGGATCTAAAATATGGTCATGCAGAATAAAACATTAATATGTGCCTTATAAGTACTAATAAACAGCCAATAGTTTAGTAATATGCATGCTAATAAGCAGCTAGTTAATAGTGAGAATTGATCCCTAAACTAAAGTGTTACCGAAATGTTTATTTGTGTAATGTATTAAATGAATGAATGGAAAGACATAATAAAGTATAAATACATTTCATTAAAAAAGACTTTTCAGTAACACTTTAGATTATGGAACACTATTGACTATTAACTAGCTGCTTATTATTAGCATGCATATTACTAAACTACTGGCTGTTTATTAGTACTTATAAAGCACATATGTGACCCTGGAGTCTTAAAGGTCCCATGACATGCTGCTTTTTGGATGCTTTTATATAGGCCTAAGTGGTCCCTAGTACTGTATCTGAGCATAACCATATTTTAGATCCTTAATCCCTAAACCCCACACCTAAACTCAACAACTACCTGACTGACTATTAATAAGCAGCACATTAGGAGTTTGAGGTCTCTTAGTTAATAGTCAATATGTGTTCCCTAATCTAAATTTTTCTGACTGATGTTTAATATGCCAGGCTTTGTGGGCTGATGTGTGATGTGTGGTTTTGTGTTGCAGTGGAGCAGGTGCCCACAGAAGCCTATCAGATCCCGCTCTCGCAGGCCGAGGTGCTGCAGGAGGGCAGTGATCTCACGCTGGTGGCCTGGGGAACACAGGTACGTCTGTGAGAACAGCTGCTCCTCCGGTGTTCATCATCGGATTATGATTTCAGAAGCTCTCTGGGGGTCCTGAAGCTCAGCTCGAACACTCCACAGGTTTATCCTGCTGAACGACTGATGGTCTATATGACAAGGACCTCGCCAGTGGTTCACAAATAGGCTTGTTTCTAATGAACAGTGCTCTCCTGTTTCTTTTCATTCATCCCATCGAGACTCCTTACATGAGCGACACAAACCAGGCCTTCGAGATAAATGGAATATTTATGATGCATGCTACAATTAATACTTTTATTAAGCAAAGAGGCATTAAAGGGGTCATGAACTGCCCTTGTACTGCCTTTTGTACTGTTCTCTGTGGTCCACTTATAATGCTATCAAGATTTTTGCATCAAAAAAACATCATAATTTAGAAGCAATAAGCTATTTTCTCTCCTATTTTTAACCCCCCTCATCAGAACGCTCTGTGTGAATAGGCGTGGAGGATTATAGACTCGGAAGTAAACGCCCACTGCTGTGATTGGCTAACAGTTTTGTATGTTTAACAGCCTACTGCCTTCATGGATGCTGCTGTGATTTAGGTCAAAAACGCATAAAAAACGCTCATATCAAACAATCTGTTTAACAGACAAAGCAATAGTGATCGCATAAAGAAAACAGTCAGTCACACTTGTGTTGCGACATGACCGTCGGATTCAATATAATCGGCACAGCATCGTTTTTTAGTTTCAGTCTTTCTGAAAATCCTGTCAATTTGTGCCTTGTTTGTAAACGAATCCGCGGTAACATGAAGTGAACAAAGGTTCTTACTGACGTGTTAAAAATAAAGTTCATCCACTCTTTCCTAACATTGGGATCAGAAGGAAGGCAATGCAAAGACTATTTTTCCACAGCTTGGCACTGCACAGCGTCTTGTTGTCTTCAGAGCATCTTTATCATTTGGTTTCTGCGCAGACCTGCGCGTTCGCCTCTTTCATGCGTGAATCGGGGGGGCGGGGCTAAACAGGCAGCGCTGTAGAAGCAGGCGTTGATGATCTTCTGTGGAGGCGGTGCTTATCCACACTATTACAAGTTTTGATATGATAATAAGTTGACTTCTGAAACTTACAGGATGTTTTTTTTTATAGTACGATGACTTCTTTATGTGTCAAAAGATCAAGGGAATTTTGGTTTCTCAGTTCATGACCCCTTTAAATTGATCAAAGGTGACAGTGAAGACATTTATAATGTTACAAAATATTTGTTTTAAAGAAATTGTTCTTTGAACTTCGAACGATTTTCAAAAATTTGAAATGTATCTTGAGCAGCAAATCAGCATATTAGAATGATTTCTGAAGGATCATGTGACACTGAAGACTGAAAATTCAGTGGTAACACTTTATTTTAAGGACCAATTCCCACTATTAACTAGTTGTTTATTGGCATGCATATTACTAGCATATTGGCTGTTTATTAGTACTTACAAAGCACATATTGATGCCTTATTCTGTATGGTCATATTCTAGATCCCTTAATCCTTAAACCCCACACCTAAACTTAACAACTACCTTACTAACTATTAATAAGCAGCAAATTAGGAGTTTGTTCAAGGAAAACTCTTAATAGTGAATACATGTTCCCTATTCTAAAGTGTTACCAATTCAGCTTTACATTTTATATATTCACATAGAAACAATTATTTTAAATTGTAATAATATTTATCATTTCACATTTTTACTGTATTTTTGATCAAATAAATGCAACCTTGGTAAACAGAAGAGACTTCTTTCAAAAACAATTTAAAAAATGGTCACACTTTATTTTAAGGTCCAATTCTCGCTATTAAGAAACCATTAACTATGATTTTTGCCTCAATAAACTCCTCATTTGCTGCTTATTAATAGTTAGTAAGGTAGTTGTTAAGTTTAGGTATCAGGTAGGATTAGGGATTTAGAATATGATCATGCAGAATATGTGCTAACTAACTAATAAACCAAGCCATGCCAATATGTTAATAATTGGCATGCTAATAAGCAACTAGTTAATAGAGAGAATTGGTCCCTATACTAAAGTGTTACCAAAAAATTGTACCAACCTCAAACTTTTGAACTTTTGCAGTGTTTTGCTATGAAATTGAAACTGTTAAGGAACATTGAGGAATGACACATACAAACATCAGATATTCATGGAAAATGTTTTAGCAAATGTAAAAATTATTGTTTATTACTTTTTTTATGTTGTTTTTATATTTATGCAAAAAAATATATGTGACCCTGGACCACAAAACCAGTCATAAAGGTCAATTTTTTGAAATTGAGATTTATACATCATCTGAAAGCTGAATAAATAAGCTTCCATTGATGTATGGTTTGTTAGGATAGGACAATATTTGGCCGATCTGAAATCTGAAATCTGGGGGTGCAAAAAAATCAAAATACTGAGAAAATCGCCTTTAAAGTTGTCCAAATGAAGTTCTTAGCAATGCATATTACTAATCAAAAATTAAGTTTGGATATATTTACAGTAGGAAATTTACAAAATATCTTTATGGAACATGATCTGTAATTAATGTCCTAATGATTTTTGGCATAAAAGAAAAATCGATAATTTTGACCCATACAATGTATTGTTGGCTATTGCTACAAATATACCCCAGCGACTTAAGACTGGTTTAGTGCTCCAGGGCCACATATGAATTGTATATGTTCACTGTATTTTACTCTATCATATTCAGCCATGTTTGTAAGTCTGATCTGAACATCATCTCAACACTGGCTGGAGAGCTTCTGAAACAGCAGCAAACAATAGAACTAAGTGTCTTCACCGTTAACTGTGAGTTCACCTTTGACCTTTGGCTTGCAGGTGCATGTGCTGAGGGAAGTGGCTGCCATGGCACTGGAGAAGCTGGGTGTCTCCTGTGAGCTCATCGACCTACAGACAATTTTGCCTTGGGACACAGAGACGGTTTGCAAGGTATGATGTGAACACACATGTTCACTGGGATATTTCAAACCAAAGGGATGGTTCAGACCAAAATTAGGATGGTCATTTACTTGCTGTACAGAAGTGTGACCTTCTTTCATGAAGCACAGAAGGAGATATTTTCAGAAGCTGCTCATTTCTAAACAATGAAAGTGAAAGGTTATTCAGGCTCTTGAACTCTAAAACCTATCATTCCTATATATAATTATATTCTATATACTGTAGGGAAATATAGTAAGCTACTAATCAGTAAAATATATATTTTTTGTTCTTTTTCCTTTTCAGTTTGGTGTCTTTTCCCATTTTGTTAATGATTTTAGTATGCAGATGTTTTCGGACAGGTAAACTATCAGTTTTAGCAGCATGTTTGAACCAGAAACGAACTGAGTGAACCAATTAGCGGAAAAGAATCGTATATCCCAGTTTGCCTGAGGCTCTGGTTTACAGGTCATAATGTTGTATCTACTCTTCAGTTTCTTGCACAGACTGATTGTTTCGCTTCATAAGACCTCAATAATACATCGTCAGGAGCCACAGATATTAATATAGTGTTGCCTGCACAACCGCAATTCCAGAGAAGTTGGGACGTTTTGTAAAATGCAATAAAATCAAGAATCTGTGATTTGTTAATTCTCTTTAACTTTTATTTAATTGACCAAAGTGCACAGAAAAGATTTACAAAGTTTTCACTGACCAACGTAAATGTATTTTGTAAATATGAACAAATTTTGATTTTGACGGCTGCAACACACTCCAAAAAAGGTGGGACAGAGGCATGTTTAAAACGTCTTTTAATTACAATGTTTCATTGTTTGGGAATTGAGGATACTAATTGTTAAAGTTTTGCAAGCAAAATTTTTGTCCAGTCTCTCTTGAAACAAGGCTTCAGATGCTCAGCAGTCTGTGATTGTCGTTGTCTGATTCTCCTTTTCATGACTGGTCATACATTTTCAATAGGAGTCAGATCTGAACACATTCACTCTGTTTCTACGAAACCACGCTGTTGTAGCACATGCAGAATGAGAGCTGGCATTGTCTTGATCTAATAACCGTGGTCTTTCCATGAAAGACATCATCATGTCTGGCAGTATATTTCTCTGTGCAATCCCAATATATGCCTCCATGTCAATGGTACCTTCGCACATATGCCAGTAACTACAGCTGTCAAAATTGCTGAAAAACTAAATTCGAATTTTGTACTTAAATATTATAAAAATGCGAATTATATTCGAATTTAAAATGCATAATTTCAGTTAGGGTGAAGAAAAGCTTTTGGCTTCTCTCCTGAGGCCACAAGAGGGTGCATCATTCAAAGCATAAGATAACATGACTATCTTTGAAAAAAATGGCATAATGTTTAAAATAATGTTTATAAACCAATTATAATTAAGTTGCTTAAACAACTATAAACAAAACAGCATCATGTATGTATGCATAGTTTAAAGGGGTCATATGATGCGATTTCAAGTTTTCCTTTCTCTTTGGAGTGTTAC